ACCTGTATAATAGAAAAAGAAAACAGAATATAAAAAAGAATAAGATTTTTTTTTTCTTTTGACACTATGAACGAAAAAGAAATTGAAGCCCCTATTGTGTATTATTAATCAGTAATCATTCTAATTATAATCGATCACTATGTCAACTGATTCTTTTCGAATAAGTGATGAAGGTTCTGCAATATAGTTATATTATACTCTCTATAAAAATAAGTGCACTGAGAATAGATATATCAAATGAATGGACTCTATAGTGACAAGCAAAACAGTTTGTCTATTCTATTTCTTCTCGATAAATAGAAAAACTGATATTATTTTTAAAATACTTTTTTTAGCAAGTTCTTCTATCTATCAATAGTATTTTTAGTTTTTGAAAATTCTTCTTGTTGATCAAGAGAAAACGAGTACTTTAATCTCTTCTTAAAACTTTGCAAAATATTTATTCACTCTATCCAAAGGTGTTCTCAGATTATTTATTTGTTATAGACGAACATTTTTTGTTTTTTTGAAGTCAACAATATTATATATTTTCTTTTTTATTTTAGATTTTGTTTATTATTTTTTTCATTCTTATCTCTAAAACAATGGTTGTTCCATTTTCGAATACAAAATTACGTGTACCAAAAGGTTTTCAAAGTCTTTTGGTCGGTTTATCAACAGAAATTTTACGTCATCAACCAAAAAATATTCATCAATTTGCAGCAGATTATTTTGATAAACTTATTCAACAACGAGGTAAGATATTTTCAAATAATCCTATTTACTATAGACTGATTAGTATAAAAAAAAGAAATATGCATGTTCGTTTGATCTGATTGATCTCTTCAACAGCAAATAATGTTCATAAGTTCTCATATCAATCTTTTTATGTGAAAAGAAGATGAAAAAGATCAGAGACTATATGTATATTTATGATAGATGTCGATGTAGAGAGCTAATCGTTCATGTCAATAAAGTAGTATCGATCTTTCATTACATATTAGTTACAACTCTATAGGGGTTTTTATTCTTATATAAGTTGTATTGATTGAAATAAACAACGATTTGTTGCTCCTGTGTTCGAATAGAAAGATTCTGAAAATTGTGTTCAAATAATTCACTGATTATTTTTCTCTGAAATGTTTTGTCATAACAAATAAACATTGTAAAGAAGAAGAAAAAAGAACTGAATTATCTTTTGAAGCAAAATTTTATTTCATTGTACTTTTCACATTTTAGCCATAGCTATATGTTTTCTGCTAGAATTGTTGTGTAACATTTTTATACATTTCTGTATTTATTCTGATAAATAAATACATTTTAAACTTCTTATTCTATAGTGTTTAGATTTTAAATAAGAATTCGTTAATATTTGTGTAGAAATAAATTATCATCTATGAATTTGAATTATGAATGTTTTTATTATATAGACAATTTTTTCTTTTATTCTATTCTGAAATATATATATATATGCATGACTATTTATATTTAGTTCAGTAACGATAAAGAATAGAAACATGACATTATTTTTTTTCTACATAGTCTGGAAAATATATATATTTTATTTTCTCTTTCATGCATAAATCCATAGCGAAAGACACACGTATCGATAGATGAGACTGAAATATGTGGATCAATTATTTAGATTAACATTGACATTTTCTAATAGATATATTTGTTCAATAGAATATATGTGTACAGTGTGAAAAAGAAAAGTACCACCATAATCTTATTCAATCATCATCGTTTATTGTTTGTTTTTTAATATAATCATTCTTCTTCTTCTTTTTCTCTCTTATCAATAAACAATTTTTTTCTTCTTCTCCAGTCTGTCTAGGCGTATACATCTTAATTGAGATAAAAAATATAAAAAAAAAAAAACCTGAAATACAGCCAACAGACATACAATGGTATATTTGAAGAAAGAAGATGATAAATGCAATTAGCTTCTGTCTAGGAAAAAAAAATTGATCTTTTTCAAAAATGTATACATCTTGAGTGATCATTAGAGTAGAAAGAGAGAGAGAATGTGTCTGTTTATGGATAATTGGGATAACTTCATTATTCCGCTTGATCGAAAAAACAGTATAAACTGTTTTCGAGAGTTTCTCTTGAAATTTCCTCTTTATGTGAGTGAGATTATTATTATTGTTATTATTTTATTTAGGTTTTTTCTTTTTATGATTATCCATCCTCAAATTTCTAAAATATTCAAATATTGTCAATTTTCTCATAAACTTTTTATGCATATCTATGTCTGAGTTAACAATAAATGAACTAAAAAGTATTTGGTTCGGAACATCTATTTTTTGTTTAACACGTCCATATAATCTATTCCCTTTGTGTTATTTTCTCTTTTCCCATTGATTATTCATATAATTGTCCTATTGTTAGTTTAATATTTAAACATTATTAGTAAATAAATAGAATAGAATTTTTTACATCAAAAACAAATTTAATTCCCAAATCAAATTCTATTTAACTTCTTTTTTTTTTCTTTTATCACTAGAGATTTTTTATTAGAAATACATCTATTCTAATATACTTTAGATTATCTTAGGGGAGTTTAGTGAAAATAAATATTTAAGGATTGTTTGATGATAAAAATTTATTTTTGATTGGAAATTGAAAAATTGTTCTAATATACTCTATTATTTTATTTTAATCTTAATATTTTTTCTATTATATTCTAAAATTTTGACTATTTATATAATAATAATGAAACTGTTTGTTCATAAAGAGGATACAGTTTCAGATATGATACAAAAAAAACAACAACATTTAACAATGTCATTCATAGAGTATACACTTCTAATCAGAACAAAGTTTGTTCAATTTCTTTTGTCATGAACGCCTGTTAATATGGCATGTCTAATGTTGTTTTTAGTCATTTATTTTTTTTTCTTCTTCTCTATTACATTGAATTATGTAATTTCTAAATTTTATAAGAAAGAATGAAATTTATATATATATATATATATACCTTTTGCTATGTTTTATAAGTATCCCTCTTGTCAACTAATAAATTGATCTATTAAAACACACTTTTCACTATACAAATTATAATAAAAAATAAATTGATTAATTGTTCTGTCTAAAACAGATTCAATACTTGAAATCAGAGAAGAGGAGATTCATTTTCAATAGAACTCTAATTCATCCTGACAGAAAAGTGATGTTTTATCGATCTTCTTCTTTTCTTTTTTTTTTTGTTCTTTGCCTAAAGATAATATAGAATAATGTTTTTGTCATATAATAATTAGATGAGATAATATTTCGATATCCTTTGGTTTTTTTTCCTTCTTCACAATCTTTATAGAGCTGTTTATTTTAATTATACTTTTATGGTCTAAAAATCGTCGTTTAAATGAGTTACAGATGTGAGCCTATTGAGATAACAAACTTAATTGTACTTGAGAATGTATTCGTTATCATGCAGTCAAAAAAAAAAAAAAAAAAAAAAAAAGAAGAGAAGCAAACACGTGTGAATAAAATTATCTTTTCCATTTGCGAAATAATGTATGTGTCTATGCAACTGAAATAGTGGAAGTAATTCTTCAAGGAAATGTGTAAAACAGTAGAGTGTGTTCGGCGGTGAATATAAATTTTTTTTTTTCATATATTTTTCTCAATAGGAAATGATTTAAGAAAAGAAAAAAAAACAACAACTTACTGTAACGTTATTGTTTCAGACACAGACTATGTATGTATAGAGTGGTACTCATTAATTGAATATTTTATTCTCTACACACTCCCGTTTCGCGTTATATTACTTTGTTCTTTCAGGCTCTGTGTTTGCTGTAAAATGCTGTATAATATTCTGTCTTACGTCCTAATATAGAACAAAAAAAAAAAAAAGAAAGAATATATTAGATGAATAAATTTTTTAGATTTATTTTTTCTCCCTTGGAACAAAGAAAATATTTGTTACAGCCACGCTTATAAGAAGAAAGATAAAAAGAAATACTACTTATTCAAGTATACTTTTTTTTATGGTTTAAGGAAATGAAAATAGGTGAAAAGTGGTATGCTTTTTTAACCGCTGTTATATATATATGTTGGAACTTGTCTATAATCTTCAAACGAAGAAATAAGAGAAAAAAAATATCTCCTTTATGAATAATAAAAATGTTTTTAGAAGTATACAAGATAATAACTAAACATTTTTGACCAAAAACATGTTGTTGTTTTTTGATGAAATATCTATTATAATGTTAGTTATTTGTCTATGGACATTTGTTAATTATAAATGAAAACTTTCATTAATTGAAATCAATGAATTGGATTTAAATACTAACAAAATTAATTATTAATTCGTTAAAATTATTATTCAATTATATACTATGCTATCGATATTTCTAGTCAATTGAATAGATTTGTCTTTTCTTTTTTTTTTGATTATTTCCAAACGGCTTTACTTTGTTAAGAAGTACACAGCAATATTATAAACTATTTATCTTCTGTTCTTATATAACATTTTTCTCTCATCAATCAACCAATCATTCGTCATGTATGGGTGTGTGTGTGTCGAAGTGAAACAATGACCAGCTAAGAAAACATCACTCTACTGTATATTGAAAGTATATCAGTAGGTCGTCATTTTGAAAAAATGAAAAAAAAAAAAGAAGAAAAGCCGTAAAATACCTTGAACCATCTTATAACAGACGGTAAAAAGTTCTTCATCTTTCTTTTGCTTCTGTAAGAAACGGAAGAGAAGAAATGGAACCAACAGTAGAAAATAAAAAGAAACATATAATGACTTTCTCTCTCTCTCTCTCTCTCTCTTTCTCTCTGTCCCTCGTCTGAAAAGTTCATCATCCAATCGTACAAATAAACAGAACCTATTTTTTTTTTTCTGGATGCCAGTAAAAAGAATGAAAGGAAAAAAAAAGGAAACATTTATCAGAGAAAAAGAGAATATGATGAGACACTAATGACAAATATTACCACTACCAAGTAGTACAACTAACTAACTAAACTGCAAAAAAAAACTAAAATCGTTATTTAACACCCTGAAAAAAATGGGTACATGTACAAGTAGTTCTAAAAAACATAGTAAAAAACATTCGACAACCAAAGATTTACAACCTGAACAACAACAAAAAAAATCACTAAATGATGAACATGGAAAAAGTTTATTAAATAATATTTCTAATCATGGTGATCAATTTACATCACTTCCGTATATTGATGAACAAACACCTACAATAAAAGAAAGTAAAGATAAACCTAAATTTAATGAACCACCAACAAAAACAACAGATACAACAAATAATTCAACAGATGATGATGAACGAACAACGGTACGAACAAATTTTGAAACAAATGTATCATATTCAAGTGCTGAAACAATTGAAAATTTAAAACAAGAAGTATATAAATATGTTCAAGAAAAAATTTTACCATCAGATATTGATACAGCTCAATTATACGATTATATTATTAAACGTTTTCCGTCAAATATAAATCAAGATGAATTACATCATCAAATTGAACGATGTCTTGATTTAATATCAAAAAATCAAACACAAGATTTACTTAAACAATTAGTTATATTAGATTCAAATGAAAATACTTATAAAAAAATATTAAATACACTTACCACATATGTTTCATCATTATGTTCTGATAATTCATTTTTAAAAGCTCTCTATGGAAAATTTGGGGATACATTAGATATTGATATGTTAAATGCTGAAACAAATGAACATGAAGTGGTAAATGTAACAGTAACAAAAACGATAAAACAAGTTTATATTAATTCACCAACTCCTTTATCAAATTTACCATTAAATAATTCATCAAAATCAACTACAACTACAATAAATGAACAAAAAATACCAGATGATTTACCAGATGATATACGACGAAAAGCCGAACAAGTAATGAATAGTGTTAATGATGTTATTAAAAGACAAACCACTCAATAGCCATTTTAAAATTGTCCTCATTATCATTTTAATTTTAGGCTTTTTGTTACGCTCAATGTATTTCGCTATAATCGTGTTTTAATTAAGCTTTTTTTCTTTTTTTCTTTTTTTCTTTTTTTCTTTTTTTTTTTTTTTTACTCAAAACTTTTATCTCTAATAGAATATGCCATCTGTGAATAAATAACAATCTCAGTATTAATATTTATGTCAAAAAAAATTATCATTCTCAGCTTCTCAAATCAAAAAGAGTTACTGATAGAGTGGCAAATTTTAAACGTTAATCTTTTATGAGACATCAGACTATGATTATGTAAAATAAATGGTTCTAAATGTGTTCAATTATAAACTATGTGTTACTGTTGAATTTTTTTTCTATACAATTTCCTACAAAGAAATGCATAACGTCATGTTTTAAGTTGTTTATTAAGGATAAGATTTATCGATATTCATTGAATTGATTTCTTTCTTTTTTTTGAAGAAGAAGAAAGGTCATTACGAAACTGATTTATTAAACAATTTATTCTTTCTATTTGAATTTTATTTATAACGTTTTGATCACGATGTGATCTTCATCAGACAATGTATAGAATTCAAAACACACGAATTATCTCTATAAATATCAAAAATACTGTTCTCACTGATTCTTTATCTTTTCTCTTCTTTCCATATATGATAGTGGGACGAATAAGATGGTGATATTGGATGAGGTAACTCACCAACGTTCCGCTTCTGTCCCACTGTCAATAACAAAAGATAATCCATGAAATGATGAAATCATTGGCAATATGATGCAACAGTTAAAAATACTAATGATGAGATGAAATATTGTTGATCATTTGCCGTACGCATCAGGTATAGAAACGATATTAAAAAGAAAACTGTAAAAAAATAAAAATAAAATTATATTTCACATACTCAAATAAAATTCCATCATCACTTAATACGAACATTAAAAAATAAAATAAAATCAGTTATGTATCAGATAACCGTGTAATTGTGAAGCAGCGTACAATAGAGAAATAAAAAATTCGAATTTGAAAAGAGAACACATGAGAAAATTATTGATAAAGATGAGAATAACTCAGAGGCGAAGGAACCATAGGGGCTGTGAGTACTTAACACTCACAGATTTTGAAAATTTTTGTTTTCTTCCAGCAGAAACGGATATTTTCTTTGCGTGACCCATCGAAAGCATTTGTAATTGATAATGAAATTGATCGAAAAAAATGAAGATGGAAAAAAGTGATTTACTCACTGATACATCGATGTAATGATCTGAAAAAACTATGACTCCCAGTACTACATACAGTAACAATAGCAATAAAAAGCATAATTAATATTCAACAATAAAATTTTGAAAGAACAGTCAGAGTTGTACAACAAGACGGTGATAGTGGAACGAAAGAAGAAAGTTCGTGAATTGTCCTTATCATCGTCTTGTTCGTCTCACTATTATATATGTTATCTGATGAAGATCATATCGTGATCGAAATGTTACAAATAAAATTAAAATAGGAAGAGTAAATTGTTAGAAATAAATCAAATCGATATTTATCAACATAACTAATTTTGTTTTCAAAATTTTATAATACATTTTTAGTTGAATCTAGAGTAACTAGTCGAAGTTTACTACGTGTAGATTGATAGATTGTCTTTTTACAACTCTTATCTGTTCACAAAAACATTTTTCTTGAAAAAATGGTACGAAAATGTATGTGAGTGGATACCCATATATTAATGACTCTATCGAATGATGACTCTAACGAAAATAATAGAAAACTATTTTTAAAAGAAAACATATTCTAGATATAGAAAAGCATAAAATATCATTATCTGATAGAAAAAAATTTTCAACAATTATCTGATGACACAATTGATTGTCGACAATAACATTATAATTGACTAATATCCTGAAAATATTTGTACTTTTTCATGGTTAAAAGTTAGTGTTTAGAGTGAATATTGATTCACACGTAGTTAAAAGTTTGTTTTGTTTTGTTTTTTTTTATGTTGAAAAATTGAGTAATGAAATATTTTTTGATAAAAAATAATAATTCTGTTTTGAAATAAAATTGAATGATGATAAGATGAACGTTCTACAATAGAATCTTCAGTTTTTTTTCGTCTTCTTCTTCAAATCATTGTATAAATAGAAGATATTAAAATTAATCTTGAACATATTTTACGGAAGACATATGACATTTGTCAAAAATTAATTGATAGATGCAGATTAGATTATATTATTGACTAATTATAATATTATTGAAAATTTTACGAAAAATAATTTTGTAAAATTAGCACCGGTATTTATCGGTTGCAAATTTGTGTTGTTTTTATTCATAAAAAAAAAATTTTCATATTATAAAATGATCTTTTTTTTTCTTTTTGATAATTGTGTCTTGTAGAGCACAAACATCTGTCTCTGGAAAAATGAAACATACAAAATTGAGTTGTCAAAAAATACTTTAATAATTTGTCATTTTTAGTCAATCTGATTGAGAAGACGAGGAAAACATACCGTTACATGTCTAATTTTAACTATTGAGAAAATATGCGTGTTATTGATTTTTTTTGTCGTATGCTATTTTAACTATAAAATTGAATTCAATTTTTTATTTTCTATTTATTTTAGATCAAGGACAAGATTTAGCGTTTGAAAATCAAGCATCATTAGAAGATCGATTTTATAATAACAAAAGTTTTCAAGTATTTTATATTGAAATTAAAGTGTTTTGTTTTGTATTTTGTATTTATTTATTTATTTTAAAATTTTAGGAAGAGTATCCTGTTAATGATCCGGAAGTTGGTAATGCTGCACTCAAAATACAAGCACAATTTCGAGGACATAAAGCCCGAAAAGAAATTGAAAAAATGAAAAAGGTAAAACATAATAGAATCAATATCAAAACAAAAAAATAAACGTCGATTATTATTGTTATTTTTTTATTTGAATAAAATAGACTACTCAAAATGATTTTGATCAACAAGAACTTGGTTATCAAAAAACAACAGACGATGATAATCAAATTGATCGTGAACGACAACAACAACAACAACAACAGGTAGACATAGTGTCTCGTCTATATTTATTTATAAATTTATATATTTCACAATTATGTTTGAAATTTTTGTTTATAGCAACAAGATAATCAACAGAATAATAATAATGAAGAACAAGAACGAGAACAAGAACGAGAACAAGATCTAGATAATAAGGTAAATATTTTGTAATATCAAATTTGAAGGAAAAACGAAGTTCTTAAATAAATTTCTGTTAAGTTGAACAGTTACCATTGTTTGTTTGTTTTTTTATTAAAAAGAATAAATCAAGTTTTTACTTGTTCTTTGATATTTTAACAAATTTTACATAAAGAATTGAAAAGATCTTGAATTTTGTTTTTGTTTTTATCTGCTTTAAGTTTTACTTGATAAAAATTTTGATTTTAAAAAAAAGAATTTATTTTTATATTTAAATTCATCATAAAAAGCATAGAGTAGATTTCGAATTACCTGTTTAAAGAAATAATGAGTAAAAGAGTACACGTCTTGGTCGGTATGAAACTCCATCACATTTACTTTGCATTTTGTTTCTCTTTTAATTTTTGAATGATGAAACATCTGAGTTAGCTCTCTCTCCCTCCCAGTAAGCCAATTTATCAAAGAAAAACTAGATGTTTGTATTTATATCATATTTTCTGAACAAAAGAGCGTGTAGTGCCTTGATACATCTTTAAAATCTTAAGCACACTTGTCTCATTAATTTGAGATGTTTCAGTACTCTACGTATCTTACCATACGAAAATAAAAAGTGAAATAAAATGCAAAATAAATGTGTCCGCTAGCAGAGTTCACTGATCAAATCGCACAGATTTTGTCTACATGCCTGCCATGTAACGGTCAATTTCACTATGAAAGAAAATGATCATCTTTCTACGTTAATTACAAATCAAAATGTTTGCATATATTGTACTCAATTCTGCTAGAATGATGTATCAATAACAGCAGTAAGATAATTTCAAAGATTTAAACAAGAAATTGAAATTTTGAACGAGATTTTTTTTTAAATATTTTTAAATTAATCGAAATCTTTGTTCAAAGATAAAATCACACATAGACTACATCAAACTTGAATTATTTCTTTTCTTGAATATTTTGTAAATTTTCATAGACAAAGGTCATGTTAAAAAGAGTTTCAATTTCAATTTTTATTGAACTAAAAAATCTCTTGTTTCTTATTGTTCATTATGTTTATTTATTTTAGCAAAATGAAGAAGAATTAAACTTTTTAGAAGATGATGATAATGATCAAGAATATCAACAACGTGCTGCAGCAACAATTCAAGTAATAAATCTTATTCTTAGTCTGACTCTTAATCTTTATATTTTTAATCAAAAATAGGCTAATTATCGTGGTTATCGTACTCGAAAAAAATTAGTTGAAAACCGTAGTGCAAAAGAAGAAGAACAACAACGAGTAAGATAAAGATTAATATGTAGTGAATTCTCATTTCGTTTTTTGTTTTAATACAAAATTTTATGATTAAAAACAAAAAAAATTAATTAAGTTCACTCGTTTAGTCAAATGCGCAGAAACAGCCGGCGGATATTTACTTAATAATTATAATAAAATATGCGCTTTGAGTATTTTCTACTTGAACTGTGAAGCAGTGTGTGTGTGTGTTAAAATGGATGGACATATTTTTATTTCGGTGTATGTTCTTAATTGAACACTCGAATTTTAATTCTATTTAGACTAATTGAAGATTATTTTTTTCATTTTCACTAAGATATTCCATTATTACTTCGTTATAGGTATTTTATCTGTTTATATTCATGATGTTTTTCATATTTTATGTTAAGATTTAAATTATTATGTTAGAACGTTAGATATCTTTTTTTATAAAGAAAATTCACTTTTCAATCTCTTTGAAGGGAAACACAAAGATCATATTCTTTAATTTCACTGTTCAATTTGTTAGTCATAAAATATTGTTCTATATTGAAAAGTATATGAAGCAGATGAACATAGAAGGGCTAACTCAATCTTTTTTTTCAGTCAAACTTTTATTTTTCATGTACATAATAATATTTTCTTTCTGTTTAGAATGATGATGAAGAACGTCAATATGGTGACGAATTCGGTGATCAACAGCAACGTGAAGATGAAGAATATCAACGAGAAGAGGAAAATGAGCAGGATGATGAAGACAGCCGAGAAAATAATGAAGGTATTTTGTTATAAAAGTGTCAATAATACCAACATTTGTCCATATGACAACAAGTAATAAATAATAATAATGATAGAATAAGAAAACTGAATGAATTTTCCTATTTACGTCAGTAAAATGCCACATAATGTGATCTCTAGAGATCTGTCACACAGACACATACACAAAAAAAAATAGAAGAGACTATTTTTATCTGTTGTCGTTTGTACGAAAACAAATATTGTGTTTTAGACATCAAAAAAGTGTTATATGTTCTATAGGTTAAAACATATTTGGAAGAAATGGACAAAACATTAAAAAGTCAATAATTTGCTAATTATAAGTGTCTCAGACTATTAACGGATTCCATTATAGTTAAAAAAAATTAAGATAGAATTTCTTATACAAAACGATACGTTTTATCACTAGTTCAATACAAACAGTACAGTTTTTCTAATTAAGTGAACTAAAAGAATAAATAATGACATTCATTTTTGTTTTAAATACCAGAAAAAATTATATAATAATAGTATTTATTGCCATTCGTTTGTTTAGCAACAACAGTTCATTATTTCTATCCTTGTTTAACAAGATAATAAGTAAACACAAACAATGTTGTATTGCATGAATGATAATAAAGTTCAATAATTAAAAATATGTACATATGTACTGTTTCAAACGGTTATTTATCGTTTATTCCTTTCACCATGTCACTCTCTTTTCTTTTTGTTTTTTTACATTTTTTGTTTATACATTCTGTTTCTACCACTGCTGCCACTACTTATCTTTCTCTTTCGTCTTGAAGTTCACTATGGGTATTTATCATCAAGAGAATGGTAGTAGAATCATCATCATCATCATCATCTCGAAATTTCTTTCTTTTTTTTTCTTCAGTTTCTTTATCGATGGTATACGCGAAATGATGCTGATGACATGACAGATAGGATATTTTGTTTAGGTAATATTCTTGTTTTTTTCTCTCCAGCGTTCTGATAGATATACGTGCAGAATTGTGCAATCAATATAGAACAGAAGAATATATTTTTTTTCTGTGTACTCCAATAAGTACAGCTATCCAAACGTCTGTTATTTTATTGCATAGAGGGAGAAAGAGAGCGAGAGAGAGAGAGAGAGACGGAGAGAAAAGATAAACTAAGTTTGTATAATCAAATAATATTGGATAATAAACGTTCAGTGGTAAGTGTCAATATCATATTACATTTTAAAATTTGATTATTTTGTAAATATCAATTGTTGGTATTTGAGTTAATCATTTTATTGTATTATTTAATTTTATATAAGAAAAGAATCTTCTGGTAAGATGTAGAAGAATTAAATTTGTTTATTTCTCTGAATAACAGTTAAATTGCCCATTTAAATTCAACTTCTAAAAGACGATTATTAGAAATCAAAAAAGCATTGTTTATCATTGAAATAAAAGAAAATTCTATAGAATCTAAATTTGAGATCATTGTGTGAATGTTAGAATAGTCAATCTTATTGATATCTAAGAAAAAATATATTTTTAGATTCAAACTATCCGTACCATTTTTTTCACTTGTATATCATAATTTGTATTTAATTGCATATTTAATCAACATGAATTGAACTCTTTTATTAACTGTGGATATCATGCGAATAAATTGTTGTAGTTGAGTTTGATTTTGTCTCTGATGCATAAAAAAGTCATAATTATTGATCCATATTGTATTATTATAACTTGTCTTTATGAGAAATGGGGTTTAATTCGATGAAGTTAAAAGTTAATTGATTATTGATTGAAAAAAAAAACAATAGGAGAGAAAATACAAATATCTACGATAGAAAGACATTTTACTACCAGCAGGCGAGTGTATAGATTAAAGATGATATAGTCAATAATCAATGTCATATTTTCTGTCAAAAACTCTTTCTCTTTGTTAGTGTGACGTCATAGGACAAAAACAGTCAATTTTCTACTTTAATATACACGCGTGTGACATTTACATCGATTGATATTATTATTTAATATTATATTAGACATATCTTGTATTAGATCATTATTATATTTAAATCTTGTATATATATATATTGTTATAGAAAATCAAATCTAATTCAGATATAAAAAAAACAAAAACATTAAATTTATGCAATTAAAAAACAAAAAATTTTATTCTATATTACTTTATTATACTCTCTTCTAGCACACATCATTTATACCTATTTTATTTTATTTCTATGAATGAATGGATGAAGAAAACAAAAATGGTATTACGTAGTTAGTTATTTTATACTTTCTTTTGTTTCATGATAAAATACTCATAGATAAATAGTTTGCAATTTTTGTATAAATGAAATTTTTAGTATCTAAATTAATGTGACCGATACATGTTTTATTAAAAAAAAAAAAAAAAAAAAGGTTTCGGCAGTATAATCGAAAAATTTTAGTATATAACTTTAAGTTACATCCATCTATTTAGTAAAAAAAATATGATTATAAAGATATTATATATTCCACTAGTCTTTTAAATTAATCTTAAATTTCTTCTAAAGGTATTATTTTATCCATAACCGTAAAATGTTAGATAAAAACATTGTTTAAATGTCAAATTTGCCAAAATTCATCACTCACAATTAGGCATCAAATTTCATTTCTGTTAATCATAGCGACGTATATCCTTGTATTTATATCTTGTTTTGTCTCTCTCCTTCATATTTCAAAATACACAAACATCTGTAGTCAGTTTAGGCCTAGGTTTGTACGACATATATCTAATTAATGTTGAAAATAATATAATTCCTTGAGAAATGATATATATGGCACATGAAGATACCTTGGCGTGTCTATTGAGATAAATTTCTTTTTTTCTGATATTGCTAAGCTTTTCAACTAAATAACTATTGTTTCTATTGGAATAATATAGAAAATAGATTGTGTAGGTATGTGACTGAAAATTCTTTGTTTTTTTAAATTATTTTACTTTGTTTCTTTAAACCACTACGATATTGATCTACTATTATCATCAAAAAACAAATGAAAGTTTTTATGCTTGAATAATAGTAAATCAAACATAAAACTTAATATTTTCTCAAAGAATTGTGAATTATGGTTATTAAGACATTTCTTCTCTGCTTTTAAGAGTGATACCTTAGTTTTACACTAAAATGTAGTGATCGCTGAGAGCTGTCTACGACATAAACTTCTACGGGTTAAAGAAATTACAAGCGTTGTTTGTCGTTTTTTTTAAAAACTAGTCATAACCCAGCATCAAAGCATCGTTTAGAGTCAAAATTTTTAAAAAAAGACTTACAAACGATTGTAGATTATTGACATGTAGTTTCAACGATATTTACCGACCGAATAAGAGAGAATTGGAACGAATATTTGTGTAATGGAAGAAAAGCTCAATACAAATCATGAAATTAAGTGTATCGCAACAAACGATATACTGTTGAAAAGAGTGATAGTACATAGTTCTGTATCGCCAAAATTTGGGAATGGATTAGTTTTTGACTGAATCAAAACATTTTTTAACCCTTTGAGTCCCGGTTTTTTATTTTTTTGAATTGTACATAATTTTGTTCATTCATATTCAAAAATTATATGAAATGTAAAAAAGGTTGATATATATGGATACTGAAGGTACAAAGTTTAATTTTGGAAAAGTTTGGAAAAATATAGAAATTTTCAAATTGACACAGGTCGTTCCTTGAGATATTATTTAGTTTCGAAGAAAAAGCCCCTGGTACCTATAGGTACCGCCGGGACTCAAAGGGTTAAGGTCCGGATGCGGGTCTTTTTTCGAAGTACACGCTACTATAGAGCAATTCTCCCTGGATATTAATATTTCAAATGATGAACTTCATTTTTATATTCGAGTTTAATCATCGAATGAATAATAACTTTGCCAAGCAAATCTGCATATATAACAAAAAGACTTGTTTTTATCTTTGACATTGTTTCTCACAATCAGACTATGCATAATTTTTGCATCCCTCACACTAAAATTTATCTGTCACGTGCAAGTTTATATAAGTTTTATAGTCTTGTACTTTATACAATTTGTAGTGTACGATCAGGTTTTTTATATATACTTCAATTTCTGACCTTGTTCGAACTTTAGACTAAGGGGGATAAGGCTCTAATTGGGCCTCTGTAACATGATAGAGTAAAGTGCACACTGTAAATTGAATTCATCGAAGTGGATGATCATATCGTCCACTTTTCTGACGTGCCAGTCGAAAAAGTAGATGAATTTTCTTTGTTTAGATATCGTCATCCACTTTGATGGATGAAAAGTGTTAACCAGCCGGCTGACTTAGCAGCTAACAAATTGGATGACCCGCTATCCATCCGGTTAATACTTTTCATCCACCAAAGTGGATGACGATATCTAAACAAAGGAAAATCATCCCTTTTTGCACACGCCAGAAAAGTGGACGATATGATCATCCACTTCGATAAAGACGAAATTTACAGTGCAGTGATCAAAAATCTGCACATCTCAGGTACCCAGTGTGTAAATAGTCATAGAGATGATACAGACATTTTAGTAAAAAATCGTACTTTTTAGAAAAATCATAACTTTTGATAGAATTGTTCTCTAGAGCTGGGAAGTAGTCTTAGTTTGTAAATAAAGATCTAAGCTACAAAACCACTTCTTATTGACTTAACGGTCAAGAATTATAAAGTTATGAAAAGAAGCCTGGGAAAAAGGGGAGTGGTTGTACTCTATTATAATAAATTTGTTAAAAACATTTCCGTTTTTTGCCCCTGTTGATAAAGTACAACCATCCCTCTTTTTTCCAGACTTCTTTTCATAACTTTATAATTCTTGTTCATTAAGTCAATAAGAAGTGGTTTTGTCGCTTAAATCTTTATTTACAAACTAAGACTACTTTCCAGCTCTAGAGAGCAGTTCTAACAAAAGTTATGATTTTTCTAAAAGTACGATTTTTTACTAAAATGTCTGTATCATCTCTGCGACTATTTATACTGGGTAGCTGCGATTTGCGATCAGGGCACTTTACTCTACCATATCACACATATTTCATAAAAATCTGAGAGATCCAGTCCTCGTTAGTCTATGACATTTTATCTACGTTAAGCATGCCGAATATATTCTGTCAAAAATAGCATATATATATAAATCGAAAATGTAATTTTCGATTGATTCTAAACATTCTGAGTTGAAAAGCTTGATGGAATGAGTGAGTTAGATCAGTTATAGTAAAAAGTAGTCTTCACTTAATCCAAATTCTGAATTGTGCAATACTTAACGTTATTATTTGATGTGAATAATGCTTTTTGGTGAAACGATATTTTCATCGATAGTTGGCAGTGACCACTCTGTTTTAGTTCCAAAACAAAGTGTTTCTCATAGAAGTAATAACGAAATATCTCAGTGATTAACTGAACGAGCCAAAGGTAATACGAGTGATCCGTGATATTACGAGAATTATATTCACACAGAACTTCCGATTGCTACTTTATGTGATACAGTTAAGTTTAAAACTATTTTGGAAAATTTATGATTTATTAAATTTCAGTGGAAATTCCTGTCTCCAACGGTATATGAGTGTAAAGAATTAGGAGGTGTTAGATACATGTAACCATTACTGGAAAGAGTTTCGACCATCAGCGAAGACATACTTTACAAAGAGGAGAGTTTTCTTTTCTGTGAGTAATTCTAAAATTAGAGATGCAATGCAACTTGTACCGTTTTCAACTCGACACATCAATTTTTTGCGATATTTCGAGGTGATTATCACATGACTTTTGTAGGGATACAAATAAAATGACAAAAAATAACATGCAAATTTTCTACTAAGCTAAATAAATATAGTTTGGACATCTATAAGTATATGTGACGGTCTTACGAGGAACTTTTTCCAACTATCTAATCGCTTTCTGGGCGAAACCTAGTGGGTTATAAGTTATAGACCACGCTGATTCCGAATATCCATATGAGACAGGCCGCTAGACCTTCCTAGAACGGTTTTCTGGAAAACCAGTTTTTCGGAAACCTTGAAAGTCCCTAAAACGTTCTCCTAATAGATCATGATTATAGCCCACGAAATTCTGGTCAAAATAGACATCTGCCAGGTCTAGATGACCTTTCTTTGCAAAGTTATAGAATTTACAAGAAAAGCCCTACGTGTTCATTGTCAGCTCAAAGCTACAGAAATAACACGCAATTAATTTCGGGCGTTTCTTATAAATTCTATAACTTTGCAAAGAAAAGTCATGTAGAGGTGGGAGATGTCTCATTTTGATCAGAATTTTGTGGGCTACAATAGTGATATAGTAAGAGAAAGTTTTGGGGACTTTTCAGGGTTTCTGGAAAACCAGTTTTCCAGAAAACCGTCCTAGGACGGCCTAGCGTATGAATATTCGGAGGGCTTCATATGGATATTCAGAATCAGCGTGGTCGATAACCTATAACTCACTAGGTTTCGATCAGAAAGCGATTAGACAGTCGGAAAAGGTCCCTCGTGAAAGTTGTCATATAATTTTCAACTAATTTTTTTTTGTTGCTCGACGTTGATTGTTTTTGTTTATCTTTCTTAATTAAGATAATTATTTTTTTTCGTAGTTTAAATATATGTAATCACATATTATTTGAACATTGCTATTTACTTGACATTCAAATGTCATAGATTATTACTAAATATCTTCAGGATAGTTCTGTTACATACTTAGTCTAGTGATAATAATTATTTCAATATGTTTTGTATCAAAAAGACAAGTGGTTTTTTTCCCCTAAATCGATTTTGCTTGACTCGACAGGTAAAAAGTAAACAACGAAAAAAATAGTTCAAGAAGTCTTTATTGGATTTAGTAATTATTTTTGTCTATTTTAATGTTTAACTCTTTCTTTTTTTCTTGTTTAATTTCAGTTGACCCCGAACATCAAATTGAACGCGAATATACTCGTTTAAGTGAAGATTTTCATCTAGACGAATCGAAAAATCAACAAGAAAATTTTGACTACGACGACGAAATGATGATGAGTGGGGATAAATCATTGGATAAAGCGGCAACAACAATTCAAGCAACTTATCGTGGTTATAAAATACGAAAAGAGTTAGGAACAGGTGAAAAACCAGGCATGGAACAGCAAAAAGAAGGAGGTGGCGATGAACATCAAATGTATGAACATGAAAGAAACAAAAATAGTAAGTTTAAATCTATGTTTCGACAAAAATTAATGGTTGTTATACATCTGGTAATATAATCTACCATATTAATAAATATTTAAGCTGTAAACAACAATTTACGTTCATTTGTTGTACATGTATTTTTTAGTTTTGTCACCATCAGCTGAAGAAAACAAACTTCAAACAGGAGAGGATAATGCAGCAGCTGTCGTCATACAGGTAATTATATCAATATAAACAATTTTTCAACATTATTTTCTAACTTTCGTTTGTTGGTGTTATTCATTTTTTAGGCTGCATATCGAGGTTATCGTGTACGAAAAGATCTCGATAAATAAATTTTAAATGTTGTTTTTAACTTCAGAATTCCATAATCAATAGAGAAAAGACGAAGTCTTTTGATGATTTTTTTTTTAAAAATCTTTTTGACATTTTCTGCGTTCGATCTTACATCGTATGAAGGAACAGTTCAATATGTGCGTGTTTGTTTGTTTGTTATTTGTGCTCTTTTTTTTTACCGCATGAATGCTTCAATCTTATTTTTTGGATGTTTCGTGCTTTTTTTCAATAACTGAACAAATTTTATGTGTTTCCTATCGCTTTTTGTCTGTTAGCTCGTGTACACTACACCTGATCGCGTATATATGTCTTTTTTTCTACTCCGAAGCAAGCTTTTTATGTGCTATTTGTAATTTAATACAATAAACAGTGATTGAGCATTAATTATGGGTCTACTACTTTTTACTTCTTCATTGTCCCAGCGTATATCTTTTGTTAGCCAACATTACTAGTTATTTTGACCAATTGTTTCTTCTTAAATCTTATTTTTACGATATGCCCTTGACTATTGAACCGTTGCACATGAAAATTTTATTATTCTTCACCGTCATGATGACGAGTACGTGGTTAGATTAATATCTTCTGTTCCATTCACTAGACAAATGGCATTAAAAATGTACAGTAACACAAATTGACTTGAATGTGGTCAAAGCTCAAAGAAGAGTGAACTTTATCATAAAATCAATTAACTCCTTCTCAGGAATCTGATCTAATTATGTGCACACTCATACAAAGTCGCATATTGACACAACACAGACAAAAGCTAAACCAGTACAATAAGACGTTATGTTCTAACGCACTATCCATTTCAAAAAGATATGTCTGTGAGTGTTCTTTGAATAATGTTTGATAGAGAAATAGATGAAGACTTCATTGTCTGATCAAGACCTACCGTATGAATCTATAAAAGAATGAAATTTAGAGTATTATGTACAGACGGTATACGTCATCGATTTTTTAATGCTAAACTGGCTCACTCCTAATGAAAAAATGGATTTTTGTCATTTTCAGGTGTGAATTAGAGCCACCACATTGTTCTTCAAAATTCTGCACACCTCAAAAAGGATTTAAAACACAGACAATTAACCATTGCGGATTTTGTGATAATGTTTGCGTTCGAGGTTGATTCTGGAACTTCAAGGAATTTCTTCGTAAAAGAAACTCGTGGATTCTACAATAACGACGGTACTGTGTAGTAAAATAAAGGTTTTAAAATACCAGACATATTGCAAAATGCAAAATATTTTTAAAGCAGTTTAGTTTATCATATATATAGACTTACTTGATACTATTGAATCATTTGATACATGACATAGAATTAAAAGATGAGATGTTTGATGATAAGATATTTCTTACAGAATGAAAACTTGCATATATATATTATAAGAGAAATAATTCATAAAAATTCATTTTTTCAACAATATGGGCTTATTTTAATTAAGTATAATATTTCCTATTTTGAAGAAGATACTATGATATAAAAGAAAATTATTTATCATATTGAACTGTTGTGTTACGAAACACTTATTATATTTTGTATAACGTTTATTTTTTAAAGATTTTCAATCTCAATATATATACATATTATACAAGAACAAAAACAAGAAAACACATTTATTTGACTGATAATTGTGAATAATGTGATTGTAATGATGGTATTAATTCAACTTTTAATGATTTTTTTTTCTGTTTTGTATTATGATGATATTTTATAGTTGCTGATAAATATCGTTTACTATCATTACGTAAACGTTGATCACCACCACCTATTGTTGTTGTCATTTGTTCATGACTTGCTGTACTACTGTTATTAGGATTATTATAAAGATGATTCTCTGTTATTCCCATACCGTCATCGACACCTTTCACTTTTTTTGTTGTCAGTGTTCGAAAATGAAATAGTGTCGAGAGAGATGTTCGAAAATTTTTTCCACAAAGTGAATAGAGAAAAAAGTTAATACTAAAATTAGTATAAAATAGATAAAATGTAAACTGTTCGATAATACTTTCATTTGATGTTTTATCATCAACGTTTGGTGGACTGAAGAAAAAATAATATATTTTTAATACATGCATCGGTGTATTCAATAGTAAAAATGTAGAACTAATAATCAATAACATTCTTGTTATTCGTTTATGATATGTTGATCGTTTTAGTCGATGTTTAACTAAATTTTTTAAACCAGCCGATGATGATTGTATATGATTTTTTTCTAATAGACGATCATAATTTCCTGATTTGTATATAATAAGTAAATTAAATGTCACAATACCGATAAAAGGTAAAATAAATGTAAGAAAAACGTCGCAAATGTTCATTCGACGAGTGAATTTAAGCCATTCACGAATAGTGACACATCGACTACCATATACGGGTAGAACAGTCGTTGTGGCATTGATAATTTCAATACCGTTTGTCCATAATGACGATGAATATAATACGCCAGCAATAACGGTTAAACAAAATATGACAACACGAGCACGAGTAGTTGAACGATAATAATGACGTTTGAGAGGATAAGCAACAACAACAAAACGTTCGGTGGTGAAGGCTAATGTAAACCTGAGCAAAGAATGATAATATTAAGAAATAACATTTTCCTTTATGATGTAGTATTTGTCGAATAATATTAAGAAAGCGAAAATGACACTAAAACTAGTCATTACAGTGAATATAAGCGAGAAAGAAGCTATCGAAGAGTACGGTATTTTGATCAAATGCATATATTCTGTTGTTTTGAAAAATTTGGTATTTTACTCATAATTTACCAAATATTCTAATTTCGAGACCTTATCTGAACGTTCTCTGATTAATATTATTATATGGTCATACTTGTTGCCGATCTAGGGTGTTGGCGTGTTAGAGTTCTCAGTATCGAGTAAACAAATGTATTCCTTGCAGTCAATAAGCGTCGAAAGTCATTAACTCTAATTAGAAGACTAGTCTGACGCAGAAGTCTTTTGTCTAATCGCTTGATATTTGATCGCTATTAGTAATCCCGTACGAGTTTTCTAGCAAGTTAGTTAGAAAAACTAAGATGTACGTAGATACTAGAGGATGGATAATCCGGGATACTTTCCTAAAATTATTACATAACTTGGCCGTGCCGAGAACTGAACACAATGCTTTTGAAGAATATGACGAACAATAGCGTCGAATTTACGGAATTACAATTTAAAATCAAATAAAAAATACATAGTTCAGTTTATCATTCTAAATAATTTTTAAAGGATGATGTGAGTACAACAAAGAGAAATTTAAACATCTTATTGATGCCTGAACTTCAAATAGAAGAGGAAAAAATGGCAAGGTAATGTATTTGTGAAAATTCAATATAAAACTTCATTGAGTAGTTAACCTAAATCATCAACTCTTTATTCGAAAAAACGCAAAAAATGTATTTGATCAAAATGTCATGCTCTTCGACACTTTTCTCTAATCGCTTAGATTATTCATGGTAAAAAGATGTATTTACATTACAAATGTCAAATAATTGTTTCAGACTAATGTGATATTATTAATTTAAATCTTTGTTTAGAGACCTCCTGTGATACTTAACAAATAGTTTTTTTGTTTTTTTTTCAAAAACAAAGGCTTGTTACAAAATCTTACTTTCAACGCGATGTATCAACTATCAATGTGTCAAAATTTTCTAAAACGTTATCTAATATGATTTCCGATCAGTTAGTGGTCTATCAGAACGGGCGTTAGAAACGGTTTCCTCTTTCGATGATTGCCATATTGTCTACTGAAGATTCAAAGATAATAAATTAAATCGCATAATCCTTCGTTCACTCTTCTATGTGAAGGATGCCCACCTTTTCGCAGGATGGAAAATCCATTCAAACTTTTATATGTCATTCGAAACAATAATAAAACAGAAGATAAAAGAAAATACCGTTAGTCTTCTTTACGGTCATATTTTTAATTGGTTTTCTACTAGTATACATTAATAAATGGAGATAGTGTGTAAGAAGAAGAAAGAAAATGTTCATCATAACCTGATTGACACAAAAGAAGAAGAGAAAAGTAACTTACCAAACGGATAATGAACTGAATACTGTTGTTAAATATACGGTGGCTTGACAAATTCCATTATAATGAAAAATATAAATTCTTACATTTTCTAACCATATGATAGCAAGGCATAACAGATATCCATTGTCTGATAATGATAAAGCTGTCAAATAAGAACTACAACCTAATCGCCTAAAAAAGTAGAGTACAAAACTAAACTCAAGTTTTAGTAGAAACTTCAATAGGAAAAATATTAGTATAAGAATCTTACCGTAATTTACTTCGAGTAAATATAAAACAGGATATTGAATTTCCAATAAAGCCTAATCCAAAGATAAGGATCATATAATAAACACCAATTTTTTGCAATGTACGATGAAATAAATGTTGAGAAGAATTAGTGACGTTCAACTCATGAAACATAACGATATCAACAGTCAACTGAAATAGAAAGCACAACATAACCAATTGTTACAATTGATATGTAAAAAATTAAAAATTTTATTTAGAGTTAATCTTTGAAACTTTTACGAGACTATCAACACTCTTTTGTCTCTATCATGAAACGATAGAGTTTATTCTGCTGAATTTATCGTAACTTTTTATTTACACCACAAATTCTAAAAACCTGTCATTTGTAGATGTACTTAATTAAACTAATTTTCTACCAAATGTACTGAAAACATAACAAAGTAGGGGAAAACGATGGATTGCATGCGTACAATTATTTACCTTAGATTTCTCTCCTTTTTCTTCTTCTTTTGATAGGTTAAGGTAGGTAAGTAAATTAGAAAAAAAATGTACGTTGATGACGTTAGGAATATTATTCTAAAGGGTTAAAATAGCGCAATGCTGCTTTATTCTTTTAACTAGTTCGCGTTTTATCCGTTCAGCGAAGAATAATTAATAGATATCAAAGAAATGTCATTATTTTACGTGATAATTATTACCCGATGTGTTCAAAACAAAAATACACAGAAAAATCTGCATGTGTTGTTATGACAAGTCTAGTCAACGAATAAAAATAATAAAACAACACAACACATCATTAACGTCTTAAATTATGCAATGAATATCAATAAAAATGCTTATTCAATAGCAGCATGATGCTTTTTGTAGTCAATTACTGTGTTTAAACATCCAGAGCGATCTGCAGACTCTATTTTAAATGAGTGAAAAATTTTGCTGAGACAGAGAGAGAGAGAGAGAATGAAAGAAAAACTTACTTATAGAAAAAGGTTGTAGGAGAGAAATTCAAAAGAAACACAAGGCAATATAAAACAAATTATATTGTGATGCCTATGGGTGATCCTAGTTCAAATGGCTGTGGTAACAATTGCTAATCAAAGTCTTTTCTTTTACACAGCAGTTCAATGGATAAAAAATAATTCGATGATAAAATTCATAAAGTGCTGGATATATTTTCAGTTGTCTTTTTTTGATATAAAATATACACTTTTTTTAGTGTACGATTTTTTGTCTAGCACTTCAAGCTTGCCATTTCTTTGCGAAAATAGTGTATATTTGTAATACCGTGCTGCTCTGGTTTTACCAAAATCTTTTTCTACCAATACTAAATATTGTCTAATCTTTTTGTTACATTTAACCTAGTCGACTGTTCCGGACGAAAATCCGTAAAGATTCTATAGAGTTCTTACTAAATTCTTGCGAAAATCTTGTTCTGGAAAAAATCATAATTTTTGAGAATCGAAGAGTTAACCCTTGACAGCTGTTCACCTTCAATAGCTGCTCACGGACTCAGTTGGATCCACTAGGAAAGGCAACGAAAGGTTCGATGGTTTTTTTGTTTGATTTAGACTTGTCATACATCAATCAAAAAGCTCCACTTATGCTCTCTCTGGGTGCGAATATCTCAGCAATTTTAGCGGCGTATGAAAAAAAATATAGAGAAGTGATGATAAACACAAAATTTGAGGTTGGTCCAGTTGGACCCCCAAACAGCTGCTAAGGGTTAAACGCAGAAATTCAAGAAAAAATGACACATTTCTCCATAACTGGAATTTATTTTGTGTTTTGTTTTTAGTGAACGATGATTACAATAAACTACACAGTTTATTGTAATCATCGTTCACTAAAAATAAAAACGTTTTCACAAAAAAACTTGGAATGATTGTTAAAGTATCAAAGAAAATCATTATAATCTCAATGGTAGTGACAACAAAACTTACAAGAAGAAACTTAATTAAATATTTATAAAAACTTTAAAATACTGGAAGAGACAAGCGACTTATGAGGCCCAGGTATCGACTAGGAACTGCAGATGAATTTGATCACGAATGGGTTTAAAATTACCTGAGTTATAACTAGTTGGAGTTGAAATTAATTATGACTAATTTAACCTTTAGTCAAAATTTTACAATAGTTATAACTATCAACCACGGCTGATAGTGTTGATTAATACAACTGCGATTGAGAGAATTATAACTATTTCAACTTTAGTTATAACTGTGCCACAACACAGACTGAAATGAACTTTCGTAATTTTATTTTGGGTTGGTAGTCATTACTAAAGATGATGCAGTTATAGTTTTAGAGTTGGAATAGAAATTACGCTATCCATTTGAGTTGTAATTCTTTCAACCGCAGTTATATTGATCAACCCGAGTTGATAGTTATAACTAGGATTTTAATTATATCACCTTTTTTAAAAATTTTGGCTACGTACCAACTGAGATACATTTTTAATTCCTAACTGAGATACTTTTTTAATTAGGTATCTCAGTTGGAGAAAAGAAAACTATCAGCAAAACCACATTTCCTAACTGAGATACAATTTCTACGAGAGATCCGAAGTAGTTGTATGGAAAATGACGGAAAAGGCGCTGATATTCATGTAAATCTATATCATCATCAAGTAATGTCTGTTTTGCTGATAGTTAAAGTATGCTTATAGTTTTCTTTTCCTCAACTAGGATATCTAATTAAAAAAGTATCTCAGTTGGGAAGATACGAAAATTTTCTCAACTTTTAACTTTTAAAAAATATTTTTAAACCCATCAGTGAATTTGATTGATCATTTTTGGAGAAAAATGTGTATGTGAGTATGCACACAAAATACAGTTTAGGAAATAATAGTCATTAAGATTTAACGTGTAGATATTTGCTGAAGAGGTGACACAACCGTCAAACTTTTAGTTATTGAATTTGCTTAGGTGTGTCAACTACTACTGTTATTCTTTTATCTTTTGTTCATTTGACAAACTACCCTAGGCATTGATTATTATATAAGAATTTTATCAGAAATGTCTAAGCCTCTTACCAGCCAGTGTCCTACAAGATTCTTATCGGAATCTTATCAGTTTCTTATATAAGATTGTTTATCAAAAATTCTTATGTTATTCTTATTTACTAGAGGGCAGCTAATCAGTTGGTTTTGCTGATTTCTGTTATGATTACGGTGCTTCTATTGGCTGGAAAACTTCATAAGAATTTTTGGTACTTCTTATGAATTTCTTACGAACCTTATAAATCTTATAAGACACTTACGACTGTCGATGGGACATCTTAAACAATCTTATATAAGAAACTGATAAGATTCTGATAAGAATCTTATCAGTTTTATCAAAAAACATTTGTTTAGGGTAAACAATAAATGATGCATAATAGTCATTGTTTTGGTGCTTAAAAAATATTAATATATAAAAAAAAAATGACTATTGAACATTAAAGTTTATTTCTTTTTTGTCTAAGACCGATAGACACTAGAAAGTAACACTTTTGAGCATTAAATTGATAGAAAGATATAGAATATCACTCTCATGTTAATACTGTTAAGTAGCATCTTTCTCAGTCTTTGCTTTTCAACCTAATTCTGTATAATGAAAACGTAAACAAAATATGTGAAACAAGATGTATATCTCTGTTTATAGTCATAAGATTGTTGTAACTTTTTTTCGGATACCTTTTCCTTTTTCTCTTACTTAATGATGGATAACGTGTGTTATCGTTCACATGACACAAGTTGAATAACATAGCTAGATCAACAAAACACTTATAGCAATATTTTCTTTATTCCAGCTGATTTTCGTATAGCCACTTCATTACGGTATTGATAGAAGCATTAACGGGCACTTCGTTCGTAAAGATCGATCTAAATGTCTCGTTTATGGAAATATCTTCTCTTGTGTGAAACTTTCGAAAGAAATAAGTCAATATGGAACTTGTTTTGTAAAATTTGGATTCCCAATAAATATTTGCGCATACAACAATCACAGTAAAAATATTCATATATTAACCAATCATCAAAATCATTTATAAAATTCTTGAATTCGAGGACATATTAATAATTCTAAGATATAAACAATTGTTCGTAACATGAACAGAACTCTTTGAATAGAACACTAATGCCATTCCAAAGAGTTAAAATTATGAATTATCACTAGTTGAATTAAATATCAATAGTAACAATTCATTTTACATAATTTTATTTGTAATTTATGATAATATGTTGTGTTAAATTTTGATAAATTAATTGTAAATAAAACAATTAAAGTATCAGTATCATTTATTGTATAAAACTGTTCGAATGTTGAATGTAATACTCTACTATTTTGATGATCATTTCATCATTTTTTCAAAATCATATATTGAAAATATCTTTGATCTGATATTCATATTAAAACAACTGGATTAATTTTATGTAAAGTAATGATCACTCAGATGGCCAATGGCAAGTAATAAACAAACTTGAATGCAACTTGAAATAACTGTTAACAGCATATTTTGAAACAGATTGATAAACTGGTTATAATAAACACAATATTGAGTTATAATCGTCGTGTAGAGGTGTGTTTCTTTCTGTCGTTATTGTGATAGACTTCGGATCATTATCTGATATAATTACTTGTAATTCGAAAAGACATGATGGAGATTAACGATAGCTCGTAGACAATGTATAAGTAAATTAAGAGTAAAACTCAACAATTTTATATGTGTACTTGAAATTAGTACGTACAAGTGATAAAAAGGAAAAAAAATATGGAGAAGAACAACTTAAATATCAAAAGCAGGTAGATTAACGTGTTTTATGCACTTGTTCACAATTGTGAAAGAGATCACGATGGTCTTATGTGTACGTTTTCTTTATCATATCAAATTTTTTTTTTTTAGGAAAAAAAATCATTCGTAAAAAAAAAAGTGTAAAGCTTTTTTTTATCACATTTAAAAATTTCTAATCAGTGATACTTAGCTCGATCTATTTTTCTTAGAAATGCATGATTTTGTAACATAGACAATACGATTGATCTTCAGCTTAATGTGTTCAGACTTATGAAAAAGATAGAGATAGAGATTAGACATAAAGACAAATCTATTGATCTATTTCAAGAACAGTCACTCTATATACCAGATACTATTAGCTCTATTTATTAAATATTGTCAAGGTTTATCAAAAATACTCTCTT